TCCCACAGTAAGGGCATCAGTTTCCAGGTGGAAGGCAGTCTCAGTCAGGGTTGGATTGATGCGCCTTCCTCTTGGCACGTTTCTCTCTTTCACCCTCCATTCATGCCTCTTCAAATTCTGCAACACTGCTGGTCACAGCTGACCTCCAGCTGGAGCTCTCAAGGGCCGGGGCTTCCCAGTTCTCAGTGTTTATGCCAGAATTTTTAAAGTTGGCTTTGAGCCCATCTTTTTCTGTCCACCAACATTCCATTTTCCATTCTTTAGTTCGGAGTAGAGCAACTGCTTTGGGAGATGGTGGTTGGGCATCCGGACAACATGGACGGTCCAGCGGAGTTGATGGACCATCGTTTCAATGTTGGTCCTCCGCTGGTCCTCCGCTGATGTTTGTCCACTTGTCTTCCCAAGAGATTTGCAGGATTTTCCGGAGGCAGCGCTAATGGAGTTGTGTGTGATGTCTGTAGACAATTCACGTTTCGCAGGCATGTAGGAGGGTTGAGAGGATAATAGCTTTATAAACAAGAACCTTGGTATCTCTACGGATGTCCTGGTCCTCACTCTCTGCTTCATTGGGGAAAATGCTACACTCGCAGAGCTCAGGCGATGTTGTATTTTGGTGTCAATGTTGACTTTGGCTTGCGTGTTCCAATGAACCTGCGGGCACAACAACTGGAGTCATGCACTCCCAGGAGTGGCTGCGGGGGAGGTTCCAGACCAAGCACAGTCCGAAGACCCACAGACCTCAATGGCGGAGCAGGCAGAGGATAACATGGTACATGTTACAACAGCTGTGAAGGCGGAAGGAGGCTGCAACAGATTGAGAATCCACGGTCATTGTGTTAAACTACACCACCACCACCACCACCATCATCATCATTTAATTACTTATTAATCGCCCTCCATCCGAGAATGCCCTAGGCGATTTACAGCTAGGGCATTGTAAAAGATAAAAGTGAAACCCCACTCTGTGAAGACTGTGTGTTGATCAGTTGTGCGCTGACCTCCGCACATTAAAAAACTCATGCACAGGCGTCTTCCAAAGAAAATAAAAACAAACCAACAAAAGTCCCATGGCGATCAGCGAGTGGCGACAGGGGCAGCACTGTGAAATCTGGAAGCCCCTAGTCATAGACTGGCACATGGGCGGTGGATACGGACTCAGTCCTTCTACCTCAAGGTTCAAGACAGTTGATTAGTTCAGCAGCTATATCCATGACTGAGCAGCCCTTTTTAGGACACACTCTGCTCACCCCACACGGGGAAGGGGCTAGAAAAGGTGCCCTAAACATAGTCTGCCTCTCTTATCCCTGACTGGACTGCCGCGTCCAGTGGGGTCACCACCCTGCAGCCAAAAAAGAAAAATGAAGTTTGGTACATGGAATGTACGGGCACTGATGGACAACACTGACAGTGAACGCCCTGAACGCAGAACTGCTATCATTGCAAGGGAGCTGGGACGCTTTAACATCAACATAGCACACTTCAGGAGACCCAGACAGCAGGAGAGGGACAGCTGAAGGAAGAAAAAGGAGGCTACACCATCTTCTGGAAAGAACTGCCCGAAGAAGATGAAAGAATGCAGAGTTGACTTTGCTATCTGTTCCAGGAGTCACCAGCCAATCCCTCTCCAATGCCAGAGATACAGCTTAATGGTGTAACATTAGAAAATGTTGACCATTTCCGCTACCTTGGCAGCCACCTCTTCTCCTCACTAAGCTAAATATATCTATACAGTTCCTTATATGGCTTAGTTTCCAGACCTCTGAACATTTTGATCACTTTTCTTTGATCATGTTCCAAGTTGTCCATTCTCTATGCTCTTACTATGTCTTACTAAATACATTATTCAATAATATTTCATATGTTTACAAATAATTTTCAGTCTTTTCACACTATTTAAATACAGATTTAGGTTAAACCTTTGCATTTGTTGTTATTGCTGCTACTTGCAACCTTTTGCAGTTAGTGTTTACAGAAATTGCAGCAAAGATTAAAGGAAAAAATACAGAAGCTGCATGTACTTTGCCTGTATCTGCATATCATTTAATGTGCAAAAGCTTATGGTCTTAAAAAATCATATTTTACTGTTCTAAAAATCCATATATTACATAACTGCAACATACTATTGTAGATCAGCAGGAGGCTGATAGTTTAACTGATGGTTTAAAGAGGTTTATGTGCTTTCTTGTGGCACAAAGTGATGGGCCCTCAAGTCTAGAAAATTCCGGTCTGGGAAATTATGGTTCTCTCTGTGAGAAAACTGGCACAGAAAGTGCAGGGCCTCAAGTTGAGTTAGAGGAGCCAGAAGGAGCAACAGCAGATAAGGAATTGAGTGAATAGCTGAGTAATAAGGAGGATTCCCAGGAGAAAACACCTGGCACTACAGAGATCAACAAAAGTTTTTGTTTACAAATCAGAGCTGAAAATAGATCATGTCAGTCTGAGAGATTATGTGGGAAAGTTGTGGAGAAAATTCACAGGAGACGTAATGCTTTCATGGGTGTTTATTAAACAACAAGTTGTTTACTTTCAGGGCAGTTCAGGTAATACTGCATTAGAGCAAGAAGCTAAGCCTGAGTTCCCTTGTCCTGATTCAAGTCAAGCCTTGGTTTTGGATTTTAATATCCTGGAAGTTTTTAATGATCCTGTTCATGTACCTCTGTTCAAGTTTTTACTAGTTATACGTTCTTGTTTGTGGACTTATGTTGTGATTTCTGACTGTTCCTGGACTTTTTCACCTCTGGAACTTTATGAGACATTTGGATTGTTGTTTGGTTATCACTTGTTGCAAAACATTTTTGGATTATATATCTTCCTTTCATATTTCTACTTTTAAATATGCTTTTATATGTTTCACAATAAATTATTTGATTATATTTTTGGACTCTTGTGTGGTGGTCATAGTTGTTTCCAGGCCTGGAGTGCAACACATACATCCATAGTGGGATATAAATAAAATGAAATTATAATGTGTTTTAATACATGGAAATGTGCAGTAAAAAGAAATGAAACAAACAAGCAAAAATATCTCTAGCATCTGTTTGTTTGCTTTTAGGTTACTGCTTATTCTCCATCCTTGTTTTGCATGTTTGGAACAAGTACTTTCAAAAATAGAATTGAGCAAATATGCATAGCCATGGGTGGGACAGCTGTTACTTAGCGTATCAGCTGGAAAATAAACTTCTTTGGAACTGTTGCTGTAAAGTCAGTGGGGCCCCTATGCTCTGGGTCTCAGTTATCATCACAAGGCTTGAGTTCCAGATCTTTGGTTGTATTAGTCACATTTGCATTTGCTATAGATTTATGTAATGCTTAAGGCATAACTAAAATCACACACACATATTGTGTGTCTTGAAATAATTCCCAAATTAGGGTAGCCATTTTGTTTATACAGAAACAGAACAGAAAAAGCAACAATGCAAATCTAAGAAGGAGACATTAGTCTTTATTTGGGTCAAGAGCCCAGGTGAGATCCTGCATGGGGGCAGATAGCTACTAGAGATGTGCTAAAGTTTTTAAAGTCATAATAAAATTGGAGACTTTGTTGTTTTGACAAGCCTTTGAGAATGCCTCTTTAGCTGCTTGCGTATTGCTATCATTCATCTGATGCCTGCTTGCACAGCCAAGTTTTAAGCTGTTTTCTGAATGCCAGGAGGGAAGGGGTTGATCTGATCTCACTGGGGAGGAATTTCCATAGCTGAGGGGCCACCACCAAGAAGACTCTGTCTCTCGTCCCGACCAATTGTACAATTTCTGTGCTCAAAAGCACACATTAGAAGCCAAGCACCATCCAAGGAAATTCTGGAAGTCCCCTTATGTCAGCAAGCCTCAGTGCAATAAGCAAAAGCTTGAATCCCTGTAGGATCCTGTTGCAGCTCTTGTCACACAACAGCTGGCTGACAGGGACAGGCTGGATGCACCATTCTCAAGCCCCTTGCTCAGTGTTGACATAGAACCACAGAATCAAAGGTGGAAATTAGGTGGAAATTAGCTTTGTTGTATGATTGTTACCTGGAACGAAGGTGGAAATTAGCTTTGGTATGAGATTTTTACCTGAAATCGTGATTTCCCTTCTATGGTTGTAAATACATCCATAAATATTGTACAGTAAGGGGAAAAGCCACTGGGAGTAGTTTCCTCATATAGCCTCTCTTGTGATGTACTTCTGTTTATATGTATCAAAATGTATGTCGTACTCTTTTGTCAATAAATTGCATTAATACAGCAATATGCTAACAACTGGTGAGATAACATGTTGGTGCAGCTTGCAAACTAACATATTTTCACTGCAGGAATGCTATCAAACATTCAACTTTTTTTAAAAAAATCAAAAAATCAAATGCAAGAACGTTAACAAGGAATGAATAAATAAATCTGAGAAAAGTATAATGGCAATGATTCTCAAACAAAGACTCTTCCTTTGTAAACAAGCGAAAGGGTGATTTTTGCCACCAGAAGGGTGGAAAACACCTTTGTTAGTAAAACTGCTAGTATTATTGCTTTGCTTTGCTAGTATTACTAAAAAAAGTGAACTACAAGCATTTGAACCTTGTTAACATTTTCTTTCCTTGGAATCTTTTTTTCCTCCTTTCTGGAAAATGTTGTTTACAGTTGTTCAACTTGTCTGGAACACACAGGATTTTATGGTAGTTATTTGACGATATGATTAAGAAATATGGACCAATTGTATTTAATATAACAAATTCTAAAACCATTATTATGTGATTGAGCTGTGAACTCAGTTCTTTTACTAGAAGTAGTTTTGAGACTGAACTTGCTTTCAGAGGCTCCCTTCATCCCTAATTCTAAGTGTATGCCTCGTACCTCATAGGCTTTATTTTCTACTTTTGGGGTTAGCACAGTTTAATCAGGCCTAGTATTGACTGAGCTGGCCCTTGGCACTTGGACAGTGAGATTTCATTCTTATTTGGTTAGCCTCTTTTGTGACAATATTTCATATCTTTCTTGTCACCCAAGAATTATTTTTCTTTTATTTCTTTCAGGATGCTTCAATTGCTCACAGATTTCATATCATGCGAGAAAAACATCCGGAGAAATTCAATAGCAGGTGAGATCCAAGAAAAAATTTTTTAGGCCAAGTGAGGCATTGTCAGGTGACAAAGATGCACGTACCATGAAAAGGAAATTATGAATTCTGAGTTCAGTTCTATCTCACCGAGATGGCTGAGGGCTAGGTACACCCCCCCCCCCAAGTCTAGGGATATAAAAATTATTTAGGACTATCTTTTCCCAAATCTAACTTTGTTCTGTCATTATGGCTGTGTCCATGCAATGGAAGAAAGTAAGATCTCGTATAACCTAGAAATTCCATCACTGTAACCTTCTCTTCTTTCCCTCTTTGTTTGGCTCTTCTGTTGCTTGATCATCTATAACTGGCATTAGCAAATCCAGGCCTGCAGGCTGGATAAAGCCGTTTGGGGTCTCACGCCTGGCCCCCATCTCCCTTGGCCTCCTCTCAGCTTGAAAAAGCAATGGCCTGCTGTCTCTATACTGAGAGGAGAGCCAAGGTAGAAAGATACAGCTGACAAGCTCTCCAGAGCTCTCACCAGCCACATGTCTCTTCTTCCTCTCTGGCGTGGAATGTGGCAGGCAGGCCACCATCTCCCCAGGCAGAGGAGAGTGCCAAATGGAGGCCTGAGAAAACTCCAGTAATGGATCATCTCTCCCTCCTCCTCTCCACTTGGGAAAGCAGTGGGTCACCATCTCCTGTGTGGGGAAGAGTGCTGTGGGAGGGGGGGCACTGCCAGAGAGAATTCAGGCAATGGCCCATCTCCTCCTCCTTCTCCTCTCCTCCGCCTGGGAAGGCAGTGGGCCAGGCTGGAAGAAGAGCGGGGGGGGGGGAGGACAGGCCATTGCGGAGAGAAAGCTCGGTCTGTCTCCTCTCAGCTGGTGCTTCCTTGCCTTCCCCTTCTCTCGGCAGAAGGAATGGGGGAATCCACACCTTCTCCAGAGAGAACCGGTCCAGCCAGGAAGGCAGGTAGCATCTGAAAGGACTGTGGAGACCTTTCAGACACAGCCTGCCTCGTCTTCCTCCTGGCATAAGGATGGGGTTACTCACCCCATCCTTATGCTAGGAGGACAGCCTGACATCCACCCCGATCATGGCCCCTCCTGGCACTGCTCCTGCTACTTCTGGCCCCAACCTCCCACCCCTTCCCTTCCGGCCCCAACCTCTCTCCCAGCCATCTCAGCCAAACACACAATATGGCCCCAGAACAAAAAAATGCCCATGCCTGGTCTATAAGAGGTAAAGTGACAATCGGGACTGAATGAATATGATGTCTGGTGCAATGGGACATAATTCCTCTGAAATAAAATATGAGATCTGTCTTTATTCAGAAAAAAGTGGGTTGCTAGATAGATGGGTGGATGGACAATGAAATAAATGAAAGGTGTATGACTTTGTTTGTGGTTGGATGAAGTAAGAAAAAAAAACACAGAAAATGGCACGCCCAGAATGCATTGAGGACAAAACCTCTCTCAATATCAAAAGCAAACAATGGATTAAAAAGCCGGAATGAAAACCCCAGACTCTCTGTTAATATGGTTGGATCTTTAGATTTTTCCTCCTTTAGTACAATCAGTTGTTATCTGATATCAGAAGTGGAGTGGGTACTATTTTCAATAAGAAACTGTTCTGGCATATAAAATGCTTAACTCTTCAGACCAGCATGATAGAGATGATGATGCACTGTGTGGTATTTGAAGATCCCTGAGTTGACACTTTGCCATTAGGCATTGCAGAACACTTATTAGACAGCTGCAGCTGTGAATCCTTATGTTTTGCTTCCACTTGCATACTTGTGTGCTGACAGGAGCCTCTTTCATACTCATCAAAAGTAAGAGCAACTGAGTACTGCTTTGGGGTTTCTTATCATTAAGAAGACTGGGAAAAATTGAAAGAGCTGCAAAAAATGGAAACTTTATGCACATTCTGTGCAGGACTTTTTAGATTTCACATAATATTCAGAAAACAGAAATATGCTCACATACATTGAATTTGCTGGGTTTTTTTTAAAAAAAGGAATGAAAATGAAAGAAAATTCTGTAATGGAAAATAAATACAAAATTCCTGTTCACACCATCATGTGGTAAATAGAATGATAAATAATGCAACGTTATAATGAAATGCGTAATTCCCAGTTGGTTGGACATAAGAGCTTGTGGCCCTGGATCTGTACATTTAGTCCTTTCTGAGAGATTCTACATATGCATTGAATATTCACATATTCTGCAATGGAACATATAACTGGAAGCTCCCCATGTTGTTTTAAACCCAGGAGATTTAGTAGATATAACTGTGCAGGTACAACTGCACCAGGAGCTCCAATTTTGTTTGCTTTGCATTTAATGTTTGTTATAGTCCTAAGTTTCAGGGACTCTGCAGATAGCTGGCTTCTTTTGGCTGCAATCATAGGGCAAGCCACCTGTCAATTATAGTTAGGTTCCCTGGTCCCACCCCCTTTTTGGGTTTTGAAGGGAATAGGAACCTTTTTGGGTTCAGTCCACACAGAGAAGCTTTCCATGCAGGACATAATACCAAGAGCTCCTATAGAAAGCTTCGTCTTCTACAGCTTAGCCGGGGAGAAAGGTCCCGTAGCTTGGCCGAGGATTATACAGCCTTACAGCTCCTTTGCTGAAGGACTTCAGCCAGCCATCACCAAAACCTGAACTCCTTTTCCCTTGGAAGTCTACAAAGCTCTGCTTGGTAAGGGTCACTCGCGGAAGCCAGACACAGTTGGTATCGGGTGCAGGGGCTCCATGCCAACAGAGGCAAAGACACACTGCCCAGATTAGAAATTAAGGATTTCCCCATTAGTTAAATTACAGTTTATGAAGATAGTGCCTGTTCCCAGTGAACAAGATTGAGAGAGTCAATAGATTGTTAAGAAAGCCTTAAAGTGCCTGTTTGTTTTCATGAATAAAGAACTTTGTTGAACCTTTAAGCATTCTAGAGACTGTGCTTCAAGGAAATCCAAAGGCCTTTAATCTGAGGCAGCCCCGGCGTCCCGTTGGGCACACAGAATTTATGTCCTGTCTACAGTCTGATGCACAGGCCCAGCGTGTGACAGCACAATAACATATTCCTCATTGCATATATTTACCCTGCTGAAGATGCTACTTGGTCCCAGAACACCAAGACTAAGCTCTATAGGTGCTTTGCTGGTTCTTTCTGGCTTGTCATTTTCTTTCACTATAAAGGAAAATCTCAGAGGACCATGTGTTCCTATGGGTTATATGCTCTCTCGTTTTTCTGCTAACACTTTAAATTTTTTAAAGGATACATATTGATGTTCAAGTGATTTTTTCCTTTTGTCTTGTATATTCTTATTCATGCTCTCACTGTTAAGTTATATTGCATTTTGGATGTTGTTCTATTTGAGGTCTGCTTGCAAGTAGGAAGCTAGCCAAGTATTTTGCAACAGACCTCACAACCTCTGAGGATGCCTGCCATAGATGCAGGTGAAATGTCAGGAGAGAATGCTTCTAGAACATGGCCATATAGCCAGAAAAACCTACAACAACCCAGTGATTCCAGCCATGGAAGCCTTCGACAATACATTTTACATAGTATTTGAAAAAAAAAGTGAACAAAATGTTTGACTTGAAATAGAGCAGGTTAGGATAGATATGGGGTCGGGGACATTGCCTACTTGAAAAGTAGATGAAACTGAGGTTGTGATGATAACACAAGATTATTGGTATAATAACTACATGCTTCCTGCAATCTGAGACTGTCTGTATTTCAATATAGCCTGTAATAAATACCCAAGTTTGTAGTGGTACTCTCCAAAAATAATTATACTATAATAAGTTAAAAATGATACCATAACAACAAGTATACTAGACAAGGGCTTTCTGAGGATTTCCAAAGACACATAGGAAGAGAATTTAGCATATGCAGAATTCCTAGACAATAATGGTAAAGCTGTTTTATTAGGGGTCTGCTGCATATTTTCAGCAGGTAGAAATTATAATTTATAAAAAGCTCAGCTAATCATATGGTTTCAGCTCAGATTTCATGTCCCAATAAATCATATGCCATTAATAACATCTGTTAGCCGGCTCACCTTGAAATTCATCTATATTTAAAGAACCTGATCTTTCTAACATTATCTTAAGGAAATTAATTGCAAAAGCTATAGGTATCATGCTTATACCATTTGCAATATATATAGTATTAGTGAAGGAATACCAGGACACAGAAGAAGTCTCATTTTGAAAGGTTGTGCAGAATAAGTATAGGAATTAATTTCCTGTGAAATTACAGTAAACTTATTATGCTTGTTTATTTTTAATTAGAAATTATAAAACAATTCTAAAACTACAATGAGTTTGTCCATTAGTAGGGCACAATTCTGTTCTTGTACACAGGAAGCTTTCTAGGCATACTTTCTCATCGGGAAGCACTCACACAGTGGAGAGACTCAGCGGCTCTCCTTGGTGAATGTTCTAGATTTTATTCTCATAGAATTTTTTTCCGCTTTAGAACCTTGATAAGATTAAAAAACTCAGCACCACACTTGCAAATAAAGTTACTTGAAAGTCTATCCTATTTATTCAGTGGCTCTCATTTAGCCTGTTCAGTAGTGGATCTCTCTGCCCCAGAGTGTGGTGGAGGTTCCTTCTTTGGAGGTTTTTAAGCATAGACTGAATGACCATCTATCAGGGGTGCTTGGAATGTGATTTTCCTGCTTCTTGACAGGGGGTTGGACTGGATCGCCCATGAGGTCTCTTCCAACTCGATGATTCTATGATTCTAGGCTTGTGCATGGATCTGTTCTAGCCATTTTCCTTATCAATTTGCCAATCTAGCTTCTTTGGCTTGGCCGAGTGGCCATAATGGCAAGGGCCCAACCGTCACATTTTTCTGTCCTTAATGGGACTACGTGGCAGCTGATCACGGTTCCTCCTCCTCTGTTCAGCGTCACAGTTGCCTTCTGGCTTCAGTGTATTTTTTGGCTTGGTTTCTGGCTTGGTCTCTATCTTGAAACTTTTTGATTTTCCTTTATTTATTTATTTATTTTAATTTAGTGAGACTGACTG